AGTGGGTTAAGCCTCTGCCTTCGGCTCTGGGTCATGATCTCAGGGTTCTGGGATCGAGCCCCGTGTCGGGCTCTCTGCTCGGCAGGGAGCCTGCTTCCTCCTCTCTCTCTCTGCCTGCCTCTCTGCCTACTGTGATCTCTATCTGTCAAATAAATAAATAAAGTCTTAAAAAAATTAAAAAAAAAAAAAAGGAAACTAATGCACCTAATCTGATAGGGTAGGTAAAATCTCTTAGGATACCGACCTAAGAACACCTGCAAGAAACACAAAGCTCTTCCATGAAATGGGCCCAGACACTATTTCCATAGTTGGTCAGCCTTAACCTAATTCCATTCTCTACCTTCTCATTCTGCTCCAAACCAAGGAAGTCATACCATTCCCTAGTAAATACAAATGAAGCAGTTCTCCATGATAAGTCAGGAAAACACATTCACCTCCAGTTACTGTAATCAGCATCTATAAAAGCCATATAAATGTGAAATAAATGAACTAAAGGCCAATCTTGCTACTGAATTTGATACAAAAATATTAAATAAAATATTAGCAAACAGAGGAGCGCCTGGGTGGCTCAGTCGATTAAGCTTCCAACTCTTGGTTTCAGCTCAGGTCATGATCTCAGTCAGGGTCCTGGGATTGAGCCCTGCATTGGCTCTTTGCTCAGCTCAGAGTCTGCTTGTCCTTCTCCCTCCCCCTCTGCTGCTCTGCCCCCTCCCACCTGCTCTCTCCCTCAAATAAATAAAATCTTAAAAAATATATTGGCAAACAGAACAGAAAAGCATATTAAAATAATAAGACATCAGGACCAAATGGTATTCATTTCAGCAATATAAGGATGGTTCAATACCAGTGAATTTATTATGTAAATCACAGTAGTAGTCAAACTATGGAGAAAAAAAATCACACAATCACCCCGAAGTGTACTGAGTGACATTTGATAAAATTCAACAACCATTCATGAGTTAAATACTCCCAATAAAATAGGATTAGATGGCAATTTCCTCAGAGTTTTTAAGTTTATCCTGGTCAACCCAGAAGCCAGCCAGCATCATGCTTAAATGGGAAAACATTCACATTAATGAGATGCAGTCTCATTAAGGTTAGGAATGTCATAAGGAAACCATATCACCACTTTTATTTAATATTGTTCTGGAGGGTCTAGAAACCAAAGAAACTAAGGTAACAAAATAAATTGGAGGTATACATCTTTTAAACAAGAGGTAAAGTTACAGTTTAAAAAATATTACTTATTTGTTTATTTGAGAGAGAGAGCAAGCATGAGCCGGGGGAGGGGCAGGGGGTGAGGGAGGAGCAGACTCTTCGCTGAGCAGGGAGCCTGATGTTGGGACTCGATCCCGGAACCCTGGGATCATGACCTGAGCTGAAAGCAGATGCTTAACCAACTGAGCTACCCAAGTGCCCTAAAATTATCATTATTTATAGATTTGATGATTGCACATTTGGGAAGGACCCAGGAGAGGCTATTGGAAAGCTTTTACAAGCAAGGAGAATCTAGCAAAATGGATGGGTGCAAAAGTACTCTATAGAAATCAGCACATTTTAGGTATACAAACAGTAGTAGGAAGATAGATCAAAAGATTTTATTGACAATAGCAATAAAAACTAATATATGGCAATAAACTTAATAAATATGCACGACCTATAAGACATAAGGTTTGAAATATTCTGGGGGCACCATAAAAAAGAGCATATGGGAAGGCAATTCATATCATACGGTTGTGAATTCTTGCCAAGTTTATTTGTAAACTTAATCTCATAAAAGTAGTCATAGGGTTTTTTGGGTATATAAACAAGCTGATGTTAAATTCATACAGAATATCAAACAAGGCAGAAAGAGCCAGGAAGTTTTTGAAAGAGAGGATCAATCATGGGATACTCTTCCTATCCAATACATACATAGATTTTAAAAGGTATAAATATATAAAGTAACATAATTAAAACAGTGTGGTACTGATAAGTAACAGACAACTCGACAGAATATAATGGATGGTATTGAAATCAGTCCAAGTACAGGAATCTGATGCATGACAAAGATGTCATCTCACATAAGAGAGGAGAAGATGGGTTAGTCACTAAATTACTTTAGAATAACCAGGGAAACAGCTTAAAACATAAACAAAAACGGTTGGATCCATACCTCACATGTGATGTTAGGATAGTTTCCTGATGTAAAATTTAAATGTAAAAAAGTTTAAAACAAACAAACAAAAAAGACTAAGAGCAACTATAAGAAAATTCTTCTATAAACTTAGAAGCAGCTCTTTCTAAACTATTATATAAAGCCGAGAAGCCATAAAACGAAAAATTGCTTATAACTACTCTATATAAATAAAATTTTTATATGACAAAAGCCACCATAAACAAAGTTAAACATAAACAAGAAGCTGGGAAAAAATATTTGTAATTACCATCACAAAAAAGGGCTATATTTCCCTTTTGATAGAGTCCTTTCATACAATTCAGAAAACTACCAACGACCCATCAGAAAACTGAACAAAAGACAAAGGTGATAGCTGACAGAGAAGGAAATGCAAATGACTTTTTAACATATGAGAAGATACTCAATCACCTATCAGACTGGTAATGATTAAAAAACAAATGCTGGGTAGCACACTGGTTAGTGCAATTAGGGAAACAACACCACCCTCGTCTTTTGCTGAACGAGTATCAGGTGATGAAGGACAATTTGGCAGCATCTCTCAACCGTTCTAGAATTTCTACTTCCAGTACTTCCACATATGCCAAATGGCCCAAGTTCCCAGGTCATTACTGCAGCGCAGTTTACAACAGCGAAAGATCAGAAATAAACTTGCCATCCTAGGGGACTGGCTACCTACCTCCACACCCACACAATGGAATACAGTGCAGCTATAAAACATAAAGCTCTTTATGTGCTAATATGTGATGATCTCCAAAATAAAATTAAAATTAAAATTAAATTATTAATTATTAATTATTATTAATTATATTATTATAATTAATTATATAATTATATATAATTAAATAGAAATTATATATAAATTATATATAATTAAATATAAATTAAAATATAAATTAAATATATAATATAATTAATAATTTATTATTATTAATTATTATTAATTGTTAATTATTAATTATTTAATTAAATAATTAAAATTAAAATAAAAAGTGTGTCTAATACGCTAGCGAACTACCTTAATGTGAAAAAGAAAGACTATGTAAATTTGTTCTTATATGCATGAATTCTGTCTGCAAGAATGCCCAAGAAGCTGGTGATCATCATGTCTGTCCTCAGGGACATGACCCGGATGTCTCAGGGACAGGGAAGGGAGACAGGACTATTTATTCTGTGCATTTTGTATCCTTTTATTTTAAACCACATGAATTATTATCTATCAAAAAATGCACAACACATCAAAGTTTACGACGGGATACAAAGGATGTAGTTAAACTCCAGCCTGTTTGTGCTTATTCTGAGCTTGACTGAAAATAAAGTCTCTTGTTAATCTAGGTAGCTTTCTGATTAAGGAACCAAAGAAGGAAAATAATTTTTCACTTGAAAACTAAAGCTCTAAAATAAAAAGTAAATAAGAAAAAAGTTAACAAAAATAAATAAAAACAAAGTTGCTCAGGGATAGGAGGGGTGCCTGGGTGGCTCAGTCAGTTAAGTGTCTGACTTTGGCTCAGGTCACAGTCTCAGGGTCCTGAGATCAAGCCCCACATGAAGCCCCATATTGGGCTCCGCACTCAGTGGGGAGTCTGCTTGAGATTTTCTCCCTCTGCCCCTCCCACCCGCTCATGCTCTCTCTCTCTCTCTCAAATAAATAAATACAATCTTTAACAAAATAGGGATAGGAAAATCACGGTTTGTTTAAAGCCAGCAAATAAGTTTCAACAACAACAAAATAAACCATGTGAGTGTTTAACTAAACTGTCTCTAGGGATATACACCAAAACTTTGGCAAGGAGGAGAGGGGGGAGAGAATAGATGTTACTTTAAAAAAAAAAAAAAAAAAAGATATTGCGGTATTGTTGGATTATTCCAATTCTTCGATGTATTAATTACTTCAATAATTTAAAAAATTACAATCAGATTTAAATATGAAAAAGCCTAAGTTTCCATTGGTAAGAAAACATATGAGTGTGTTTAAACAGTAAATTAAAAAAATATAAGCTTAAAAGAGGCACTGTTTTTTGACTAGTAAAACAGCAATGTTTTTAAAATGTACTCAATACAGGTGACAGTATGGTGAAAAAGATATTTCAGGCATTAGCACTGAAATATATACTGGTACCCTACCCTCCATTTAATTCATATTTACAACATGCAGTTGTAAGATATAACACAGTGAACTCTCATAGATCCTTTATGCACACTGTTAAAAACAGTTTGTTAGTGCAAATTAAGAATCTTAAAAATATTCACATCTTTAATCCAGTAACCTCATTTCTTGGAACCTATCCTAAAAGAAAAACAATTCAAAAGAAAGAAAAACCTATATGCATAAAAATGTTCATTCAATACCATGTGTAAAATATAAATACATCCATATGTATAATTTACATATATATATTATCTATGAATTATTAAACAATTGTTTTCTAAATAAAAAATAAATTATTTACTTAATGAAACATGTCTACTACATGTAATACAGCCATCAAACCACATTTGTGTAAACGATGTGCTAACTGTCATAATAGCTATGATATACTGATTTTTAAAAATACAATTCTGGGGGTAAAACTTAGTAAAAGTTGCCATATACAGTTGGAAAGTGGTGTGAGATTATGGCTGATCCTTTGTTGTTTTCAAAAACTCTCCATAACATCATTTCAAACTTAATTTTTCCCTAATTTTTCAAATTCAAGTTTTCCTACTTTTGTCAGAATTTAATTTGGGAAGAAGGAGAAAGTGAGAGATGACTATTGTTAGTCCAGTGAAAATGACTAACTGCCCAGCGGGAACAGTGAACTTTTGTTAGGAGATAGCCACTTACTTGCATCTTTGTCTGGAGAAGGAGGAGGGACTCTGTGCCCCAGGCCGGTGCTATTGAAAGGCTGTGCCAGCTTCTCCAGGGGCGGGGTGCTGTCCATCAGCTCCCCTGCTCCCCTGGGGTTGCTGAAGAGGTCCTGGAGGTCCTTTCTTTGTTTGGATTCTTGGAGGGAACTCTCAAAAGATTTGTCTTTGAGTCTGAGGGAGGAAAAGAGCGAGATTTTTCCCTTTGGAACCCTAGAAGCATCTGGGGACGTCTCTTGCAAACTCACTTTCTCAAGGAGTGTGGGGACATCTTCCATCTTGTGGCAGGGAGGGGCCAGGAACGCTGGAAAGACCTTGGATGGTCGGTTGGGCAAACTGTGAGTGCGGAGGGCAAGGTCTGGAGGGCTAGGGTATGAGGGCTGGGCAGCCCTGGCAGGTGGGGAGCCCCAGGAGAAGAAGGCTGAAGCTCTACTCGCCATGTCTCTCCCCAGGGACTGCTGGCTGCCGTCTTTATTGGAACTGGTTTTTCGAAGGCTGAATGAGCGAGTGCTACCATGTGGCTGGCTGGTGGGCAGGTTCCTTGATTCTGGCTTGGCAGAGGCCTTCCTCCCACCTTCTGAGTTGGGGAGGAAGGGATCCAGGGACCTTCGCAAGACATTTGCTATGAGCCGAAGTGGGGACTTGGGTGGAGCCCGTTCAGCTGGTGTCCCCGTCTTCTCCTGAGCCCTTCCCTGGGCAGGCGGGTTCTCTCTCGCTGTCCAGGGGAGCTGCAAGGGACTAACTGGTTTCGGCACACGGCCTCCCCTACCATTGCCAGCACTTCTCTGGACAGGCTGTGCCCCAGCTTCCAGGCTCACACTCTCAGGGATGGAATTGTCCCAGTCCAGTAGCTTTGTCTTCTGCTCCGGGGTGAGGACTAACTTCTTCAAGCCCAACTTCTTCCCCTCTGCCAGCTCTGACCTGTTCTCCTCTCCCTTGCTGGGTCTGCTGTTCTTTTCTCCTGGGTCCTCTCCAGCCCTGGGAGATACCTCTGGGTCTGGCAAACACCTGTTCGTCCCTCCAGTGGGGTCTGGGCCTCTGTGGATGCTACTGGTGTCCCCAAGAGAGGCCTCTGCTTCGTGACACCCATCAGAAGCCATCTCTGCAGGGCTGGGGGGCTGGAGGCTGGCAAGGCCATCTTCACCAGGCCTCACCATGAAGTACTCTGCCCGCTCCAGTACTTGGCCATGGGGCAGATACAGGGGCATGTCCTTGGGTACCCCTTGGGCTCTGGCGCGCCTCAGGAAGATTGGAGTGGAAGGGCTGCAGTGACCTCTTGAGACCTGTGAGGGCAGGCTGTCAGCTGTCACCTAGAGGGGATGGGCAAAATGAATGCATATTTAGGAATTCCCAATATTTATTTATAAGGGGAGGCATATCTCAGCCCACAGACCCCTCCCTTCCTCTCTTCAGATCTCAGGCACCCAAAGTCTAAAAGAATTCTGCCCGGGATGATTTCAAAGGGGCTGTTCTTCATTCTAAGTGTCTGCTTTGGGACCTGCTGGGATCTGCCTGGAGTCCCTGTACCAGCACTGATCAAAGGCTTTGCTGGGTGCTGGATTAGGTAGGTAAGAAGCCATAATGGAAGGTAGAGGCGTGGATAAGCTGCCAGGCCGGCCAGGTGGAGCCAGCCTGGCCCCTGTGAATGGCCAGATGTGTACGGGAGGACAGATGCTCCATGACTGGCTTGGCCATGGTCCTTATTAAGGGCACCTTGCACCCATAGGTATGTTCCTCCAACAACCAAGAGGCCAAGGTTTCTTCCTTGGAGACTACTAAGTTAAGCAGAGACAGTTACCCTTCTGGGCTGGAGCTGTGGTGGCAGAAGAGTGGCCTTTAGGTCTTTTCAATGACCCTTCTAGACCTGACTCATGCCTTGCACCACTCAGAAAGTAGTCATTTGTAGCATGCAAGAAGGTGGCCCTTGGCAAAGGAAGAGCTTAGGGAAATTCTAGAAGTGGCTGTGCCCTGCCAAGAGTGCTGGTGCCTGAGGGGCAGGTCATAGGACAGGAGCTTACGAGAGCACGTACCTCTTCCCATCTTGTGCACTCTATTTGCCAGAGCCTGGACCACGGTCTAGCAGGTAACGGAGACTTGATAAACTCATGTTGAAGGTAAAATCCAAACTGGAGTATCTCAGTGATACCATTTTCTGTTCAAGGGGGATGTGCTTCCAAGAGTCTCTGGTGCCACCAAAGGGAGCCTCAGTCTGTGTCTGCCTTCCTTCAGCTCTGAGTTCCTCAAGGTCGCCTGCTAGGCCCTCAAGGGTAGAGCTTATATCCTAGCAACTCTGCACGCCACAGTCTTGCCCAGAGTCTGTGCCCCACAAAGTCTGCTGAGTGAGTGGCTGTGCCCCAGGGCTGGCTGAGAAGGAATAGGATGGCTGAGCTCTCATGAAAACAACAAGTCAAAAAGGCCTGGGGGGACGCTTGACAGAGCATCTCATGGCCCTGGCTTTGCACCTGGGTGACCCAAGAGTGCTAAGAATCCAGAGTTAAGTGTGGAAGTGGGTGAACTATGAGCAGCTCACCTTCTTAACACCTGCACAGGGCCCCAAAGGGTATTTACCTGAGGTAGGGAGAAGCCATCCAGAGCATTCCCTGGGACGCTGACTGAAGAGAAAGATGGCGGGGAAGATGGGGGAGGAGATGACGAGGAAGAAGAAAGAGGAGCAGGTTCCTTTGAAGGTGACATAGTTTTTTTGTTGTTCACTGGCATCCGACCTACCAAGGAAAGAACACACTCTCCGTTACAGAGCTCTTATTACCTTACTTTATCACAAAGAGATTTTAAGAGAAGCTCCAACTTGGTAAATAGAGTCAGAGGGAGGAAGATGTTGGAGACTGATTGAGAGGCTCTGGTGCCCAGAGTTTGACCTTAGGAGGAACAGGTGAGAAGTGGCAGCCTCCTGTGGGGGAACGGAGGTCAGAGGATGAAAAGTCTAGAAACCATCACACTTCACACTCACAAGGATGTTCCCGAGAGATGGAACAGGGAGTCTCCAGGACATCTCTTGGAAATGGATGCCTACTTCTAAAGTTTCCCCTAAAGCTGTCGTGTGTGGGGTCTGGACTGCGTTAAGTCACTTAGTGAACAAACCACCTGAGGCCTCTTCCCACAAAATACCAGATCCTCAGCTGTGGGCTTGGGCAGGGTGGGCCATCGCCAATAATGAATCCGGCTCTTCCTTCTCATGTGGGCGCCAAGGGGCTCTCCGATGAGATGGTTTGTTTGAGATTTTAAGAGAACACTAGGGAAGGAGGTTATAATGAGCATCAAATCATCTGAAGCATATGGCGTGGGGTTCGTGCCAAGCTCCTGTTGGTCAGGGAACGAACGAGATGCAGTGTGTGTACTCAGAGCGAAGTGAGAAAGGAGTGTGTGGCTGGGGCCCTGAGGATGCGCCGAATTCCGCCCTGTGGGAGCTGCAGTCCGTTGGTCTGGTAACTGCAGAATTGTGACAGCCGTAACCTGTGAGGTAATCTCTCTCTCTCTCTCTCTCTCTCTCTCTCTCATGAGTTCACACACACGCCCTCTGGGAACCTTAAATCTAAAATCTCAAGAGCTTCACTTCTGTAGCCAACCATCCCAATGATATGTCCTCTGAGGGATTCAGAAAATGCCACACTCTGTTTTGGAATTGTCCGCTCAGTGTATGACCCTTCAGCCCAGCCACCTCTCCTGTGAACCCTCCTAACAAACGAGTCTGCCTCCCAGAGACTTCCCAGAACCTATGTGTGTGTATACCACTCCTATCAGACTCCCAGCCTGCGGCCACTCTGCTGACCCATTCCGAGTTCCCTCCACGGTATCCAACCTTCAGATGTTTAGCTCACTTCCTAACCCAAGACAGTCCTCCATCCTCAGTTTCCCCAAAGCTCCTCCTGTGGAACCCATATAGACCAGGCCAACCACGCCCACAGAAAAGTTCCTTCCAGACCCATCTGGGTTCTTCAGGATTCTGTCCTGCTTTCTTTATACACGCGGGCAAGTGTGTCAGAACATGTATCCCAGTCCTGGGCTCTGGAAAGAGCCACCACACACATATGTTCCGCAGGCTTCCAAAGTGAAGCCCTCCAGAATGCTTCTGAGGAAAAGATAACCCAGGGGAAGAGATCCAAGGGTGGCAGGAAGGAGCTGCTGGGAGAAGGCCCCACGTTGCCAGGCGCCGATGCAGGGGAGGCTGGCTGGCCCGTCACCCAAACCCCCATTGCAGCCCACAATTAGATGGTTCGAGCCTAAAAAGGCAAACGCTGTGAGTCAGTTGTTGCCTTGCTTCCTGTCTTCAGCTTGCCAAATTCCTGCCGAATTCCTCCTCCTCCTCTTCCTTGCCCCCTCATTCTCTTCCCTCAGCTACCTCCTGAATCAAACTCCTCAGCTTGTCTCAGAGTCCCCTCAGCTCAACAGACTGCTTCTTTGTTCCCCCTAGGAGCTCTCTGGAACCTCTGACACAGAGCCAGGGACACCTTGGGAACCAAACCTGACAGGAAAGCCTTGGGGTTCATGAGGTCACGACCCAGGGCTGCTCCCTCTCTCCTTTTATTAATCCCTGCCTCCCACCCCCACCACCGGGGAGTCCTCTCTGCACACTCGTTCCTCATGCACTGACTTCAGGAGAACTGGGACAGAGCTCTAGGGGACACTTGCCAGTCAAACTGCCACCTGGGAGGGAAAGGCCAGAGCTACGCTGAGAGGCAACGGGAGATCTCACCTGCCTGAAGTGGCTGATGTCTTTGGGTTCCCTCAGAGGATGCAAAGGGGACCTGGAACCCCACCCTGCTTCACACCCACACCAGCTGCCTGACATTTTCCTCACGTGAAGAACGGGACAGCTAGCGTTGCTTCATGGCGAGGCCGAAATGGATAAAAAGTGGCGCCCTGGGTAGAACGCAAAGTCAATGCAGCACGCTAGCTAAATATGAACTCCAATCCCTCTCTTCCTCCCACACACACAAGTTGCGGCCAATAATGATACCATTGAACTGACCTGTTCCAGAGGGGGCTGCGCACCCCTACCCTGGACGGGATTTCTCTAACTTGTAGGCTCAGGGATTCCTCATTCACCAATTCAGATCCTTCCCTGCAGGTTCCTTCTTGTTTCCCATGGACGCTTGGCACGGTCCAACCAGGCTGCCTCAGTCCCGGGTGCTGCCGGCCTTGCTGGTCCCATCACGCCAGGGCTTGATGAGCAGAGCAGGCCTGGGTTATGGCCCTCAAGCCCCCTTTGGCTCAGCTGTCTCTTCTCTGGGCCCTCTGGCAATGACCTCTCACCTTGGCTCTAGAGGTCACTGTGACTATGGTCAGCAGGGGGAGGGTGAGAAGGGCACTGACAGCTCCCTCTGTCCTCCCACCAGGGCTGGGGCCAGAACTAGCCTTGACGGGGCAGTGAATGGAGCCAGGAGACGGCGCCCCGGGTTCTGCTCCTTACTACAGTAGGACCAGTATTGCCCCCTGGGGTTTCCTCTTGGGCAAAGTGAAGATGACAAAACGACGCTGTGAGGATTCTTACAAAGACCGGGATTCCAGGGTGCAGCTTCCCAGAATTTGGAGTTTAGGCAATGCTCCAGTCTCCCAAGGTCTCAGAGCGCCCTCTAGGGGCAGGTGCCTGCACAGGCAGAGCTCACGGGCTCTGTTTCTGCACCAGGTCCAGCCACCTCATTCCTTGGTCCTGTGTTTGTTCACTCATTTATACTCATTCATTCAGCAAGCAACGACTGGACCCCTCCTCTGGGCCAGGCCCATAGAAACGACCCCAACTGAAGGCTGCCCTCAAACCAGCTTTTACATACACTTGAGAACCAGCATCTGGGATAACTAGAGACACGCCGATGCCCTCAGGGGCATCCCAGAAACCATGCTGCTGGTTAGCCGTCCTCTCTCTCCCGTGCCTCCTCCAGCATCCCCTAACCTGCTAGCAGGGGCCCCCACCAGACTCACTGCTCGTACCCCGAGGAACTTCTTGAGGGCAAAGTAGAGCCCCTTGTACTAGCGGCACTCAGTGAAGTCAGCTGTTAGCACTGGGTGAAATCCGTACCCAAACGGACCACCCCACCCCACAGAAGCAGAATTCCTGTGATCTGAGGAGGGGCTGGTGGGGGAAGGGGAAATGGAGTGACCTGGGCCTTCAGTAAACATTAAATCCCCCCTTTTCTCATCATCCTCAGTGCCTGGGACTGCAAGATGATTCCAGAGTCATTTCAGGGTGCCCCAGGCGGGGTGGCTTGCCGGTGTGCCACTGTAGTTCAGCTCCAGAGGCACCCATTATCCCAGCCTCACCCAAGGTTGGGGAGGCCTCGAATCTGAGGGTTGCTGGGAGAATGAATGACTCATGGGCCAGGAGTCCGCGCTGACTCAGAAGGAAGGAGCCAACTAACTAGTGCTCTGTTCCAACTTCAACAATGGCTCTTTTTAGAAACTTCTGTCTTACCCAAGGCTTTCCTGGGTCCACCTCTCCCAGAGCAAAGTCCAGAGAGAGAATGTGGGGGCAGGGGAAGGTGGAAGGGGGACTTGGAGATGGATTAGAAGGCCCGGGAGGGGATGCCTGCCCTGTAAGGCAGGCCCCACAGAGACCGCAGCCAGCCCCAGAATGCGGTGCCCCCATGAGTGGGGTTGCTACGCCCCCTAGTGGTATATCCAGATGCCTTGGTATCCGTTGTTGTAGTCACTGGTCCTCACCCAACCCTGTTCTTCTCAGGGATGCTGGGATCAAAGCCTGCTCAGAGAAAGAAGCAGGTGTGTTTGTATGGATGGGTGTGTGCATGGATGTGGGTGCGGCTTCCTTCATTGCTATGCCCATGACTGCATGAGGTCATTCAGCTGATCCTGTCAATCCAACTTGAGTGCACAGAATGAAAACACATAGAAGCTCTGGGTCTCAGTTTCCTCATCTGTGTTTCAAAAAGTTTGCAGCCAATCATTACTAACACCACTTCCAGGTGCAACAGTAGAGCTCTAAGGTTCCATGATTCCAGACTGGGGAGCTGAAGGAGAAACAAAGGTCCTAAATCCTTGGAAAATGCTTCCTTGAGTCAGCAGTGGAAACAGTCAACCTTCTATTTCTCTCCTTGCCCCTAACATTCCAGAGGCCAGGTCAGAGAGGACACGCATGGAATGAGAACAGCTGCCCCTGAGAATTGACCAGAAGACACTGCCCATGCCCCTCCCCGCCCACTCCCAGAGAGCTCATGACTCACTCGACTGGAATTTTCTTCTCCAGCTCTGGTATTTGCTGGGACTTGGAGACTGGAAGCTACTGGCCCGTTGCAGAGCTATAGTAGAAAAAAAGAAAGGGGGAGAGAAGACAGGGAGGGAGGAAGTTAAACTTACAGGAAAACTATGGGGTTTTCTCCTGTGGCACATTTTATAGACTAATAGTCATAACTGACTGAACCCCTTCCTTTTCTAGACTGCATCTTCCCATCCCTACGACACATACCTCCCACCTTTTTATTTGGTCTCATATTGAGACCCTGCTTTGGGACAGGTACAGTGATCATTCAGAAGATGCCTCAAATTATGAGCCATCATTCTAACTCACCCATAATTAAGATACATGTGTCCCTGTGTATGTGCACACATGTATTCACACATGCCCATATATATGCGTGCTTTTGTGCACACTTGTATGCTCATTTTCAGCAAAGCAGTTCTTCAAAGCTGGTCTCACATCAACGTCCCATATATGGAGCAAACTGGAGTTGCTCTCACTGAAGCCTGGAAGCTCCAGGAAGTTCTACGTCCTCTCCTCCTCCCCCACAAAGCCTCCCAAACCCTTCAGGAACCAGGATTCCATGGACTGTGTACTGAAGAGCCTCCACTCAGGTGGGTCTTGAGAATTAGCTGAGCGAGATGAATATCATATGCAGAAGAACGTGGCCTTGGCTTTTCAGGGTGTGAGAGATGCACATGTACCCCATTCCCACTCTGGGCCCTCAGATTTGGTCTCAGGCTCCGGGTCTTTGTGGCGGTTCCCTCATACCCAGGAGAAAGAATGGGGAACCGCATGCACACAGGTGGGACAAGGAGGTGTGGAAGGAAAGAAAGCCCAAGGAGTGGTGTGGGTGTGGGAGAACGGGGTCGGGGAGGTTTGAAGCCAAGGCCCAGCCCTCTCTTGGTAAGAAATCCTGGGTCCCACACCCTGCCAGTGCTCAGAACTGGGCATCAGCTCTCATCAGCCAGACTGTGAGGTGCAGATGGCAATCCCTTCTGGGGGCTTCTCTTCCTTGGGACAAGATATGCCAGCTCCTTCGGTCCCTGACTCCCCTCTTTCCCTTACTGTCCCTGGAGACCACATGAGCCTGTTCTGTCTGGTAGGTTCTTTGTCCCACAGGCCTCCTGTCATATTGAAGCCATGGGTTTGAGGGGGAGCTGTGTGGAGGGGTGCAGGGCCCAGCCTCCTCTCCCCCCCACCCTCCGGTTTGGGCCTGTTTCTCCCTTCTGCAGGTGCAGGGCAGGGTCAGCCTGGCTGGACAATGTGCAGCAGGCGCAGGCGGGCCTCTGGGAAAGCTACCTCCTGCCAACCATTACTACAGCCCCTCCGTCTGCTGGTGGAGAAATTTCCTGAGAAATGTAGAAGGCAGCTTCAGGCTCCTATTTTATTGCTTCTCCTCAGCCTTTTCACTTTGTGGAATGGAACTTATTAAAATTGGCTAAAATTCACAAGCGATTTTCCATCGCTGGTGTTTATAGGACACACATGTGCACATTTTTAACCACAATAGGAACAACAGGGTGGGTAGCAATGATTCGATCCAGTTGTTTTGAGCAGCATAAAGCAAGCCCGGTTCCCTTTTTCATCTTATATTTTATTTATATTTATTTTTAGGGAGCGCTTTTGGAGCTCTTACTGCATGACCCACTACAAAAGGAGTAAGGGGTAAGTATCTTGCCATATGGTGTTAATGATAATAATAATATTGTTTTATTGTTACAAACTAGCAGCATGCCCTGTAGGTCATCGGACCATCCCTGTTGTCAAATTATTGCCAGGAAAAAAAAAATGGAGAAATACCGATTTTTCTAAAGCAGAATAAGATGGGGGCAGTCCACCCCCCAACTCTAACTGATTTACGCCCCAAACCCACGCGATTGATTCATCTAATTGTTTCAGTGTGCACGTCACAACAAAGTGACGCAGACAGGCCCTCTCGGAAGCTGCTCTCCTGTGATCCCTGAAGTGTAGGATGTGGCTCCCCTGCATGGGAGCAGACGGGGCGCTTCCGTAAAACGCACATACTTGGCTCCACACTAGACCCACCAGATCGGAATCTCTGTAGGTAGGAACCTACGTATCTGCCTTTTAGGCGAGATCTCAAAGATCCACTGAACTAGGTGTTTTGGGGGAGCATTACTGAACCTTTTCCACTGAGTCCCGATAACACAGGGCTTAAACTTCAGGCCATCCTCTTGGGGATGCTCTGTACTAAAGAACCTTAGGGATACAGTAGCTTCCTCGATGAGCCGAGGTAGTCCCAGAAGTCTTTCCCTAAATCGTGGAGAAACACTATGTAACACAAAAGGTACCATTTTTGCCATGTTAGAGGCGAGCTCGGTGCCGTAAGATCATTCACACTGTTGTTCAACTGTCACCACTCTCCACCTCCAGAACTACTTCTTCATCCCAAACTGAAACTCTGTATCCACGAATCTAACCCCCCACTTTCCTACCCCCTGCCCCTGTCATCACCATTTGACTCTCTCTATGAATTTGACTATTCCAGGTGCCACACAGACGTGGAATCAGGTAATGCGTGTTCTGGCTTGCGTGTCCGGCTTACTTCACTCAGCATCATGTCTGCAAGGTTCATCCACATTGGACCATAAGTCAGAGCTTCCTTCCTTTCTAACACTGAATAACAGTTCATTATATGGATGTCGCCCAATCTGTTTATCCACTCACCACTTCCCCCTTTGGCAACTGTAAATAATGCCGGGTGAGCACGGGTGTGCAAACCAGGAATCTTCTTAAAGCAGGTTGGCCTGGTCCGGCATTCCCTCGGCTCAGCTCTGAGCCATTTACTCAAGTGAAAACTGTGGTGAGTGATCAACCCTATATGATCTGGTAAAGTAACCGATTTATCATAACCAGCCACACAAAACACAGCTCTGAGACCGTGCTGGAGGTTTTAACCTTTACAGTGGGGTCTGTCTAGCAATGATCAAAAACGTGATGTGTGACGGTGAAATCAACAAAAGTTCGCTTGAAAGTCACGCAGTCTGTCCACGTCTCTGTCTACTCTGTATTTTATCCTGGAATTAAGCTGGACTCTTAGAAACAAAAGTCTTCAGCCACACTGCCTTGTTGTCTTGACCCAGCCCCATCCCCCTGGAAGAACTCCTCTTACTGAGTCGTGTGTGGTCGTGATGCCCTCACCAGCCAGGCAGGGATGCCGCACGAGACAGCCTCACCCAGGACGTGAACTCAAGCGTCTCCCAGTGCTGTCTGTTTGACACAAAGCACTAGGGAAAGGGCTACCAGATCTGGAACTTGCCACAAACCAATATGTTGTTTTTCTCATGAACAGTGAGAACAATGATTGTGTTTCGTTTTTAACGCTGGCTGCCAGAAAACTCAGGATCAAATTTATGATTCCCCTAGAGCAACTGCTTAGGACCACGGTCTGCCTCTCTGAGGTTTCTACCTCCTAAAATCATTTGGTTAACCCTGATCTTGAGGATTTATCTTTTAGAGAGAGAGAGAGAGAGATGTAGAATTTTGTTTTATGTCTTTCTTGTAAATTGCCTAAGATCCCCTATTTATTGAGGAGCAAGGAGAAATGGAGGGAAGGAATGGAAGGCAGGCAGGCTTCATATCTGTAAATGAGGAAGCTGGAGCCCAGGGAGACAGAGGCCAAGCCTGAGCAGACAGAGGCAGGCTGCCCCAGCCGGGCAGGGTGCTGTGTTCTGTTCACTGGCCATGCTAAGCCCTTCCAGACCACACCACAATGCTATTGAGCAAATATGTTCGGATGACGATTGTCCCCTTTTTTTTGAAAGTTCACAAGGAAGGTAAATCCAGAGTTTCCAAGAGGCCTGCCTCAGCCCTGGTTTTCCTAGGAAACCAACCCTAGGTTCGGGTGGAAATTCTGCTCTCTGCCACCAGAGGGATGTGCAAGACAAGCTGAGTCCTGGCTGTCCCAGGGCAGCCAAGGCCGCTGGTGCCCAAGGTGGCAAGTTTCTGTTCTTCTGCTTCTTTCCACCCCGAGCTCACAAGCTGCTGTTGACCAAGTCAAAACATTCAAGGCCACCTTTATTTTAAAAAACTGGCTGCTAAAGACAACTTTTTAGGGTGTGGAGGCCCTTGGCCCTGGGCCACACAGTTTACCAGCTGTGAGACTTAGGGAAAACACGGTCTGTTTGCTCACGGGTAAAAGGGTGAGCTTACTTACCCCACAGGGTCGTCCTGAGGATGAATGGGGCCACGTATGGGAAAACCCTCAGCTGCTAAAGGTGCTTAGTAGAAGTGCATTTATTACTGTGTAAACTTCTAGGGCATTCCACATGTTCCAAGCATGGCTAATGCCCTGTGCTGCTCCTGGCTGCCTGTGGTTCAATGGCAGCTAAGCCCCATCCTTCCCTACTGGGCTACAGAACACCAGATGGGCCCCTAAGGAGATATGCAAAGAGGAGACTGTCCCAGGCAAGAGGGTGCTGGAGTCCCCTTATCTCCGCCAGCCTGGGACACACAACAGCCAGTCAGCCCCTCTGCCCCCTGCCCACTTGAGATTCCAAAGCTTCTCTGAGAGAAGAAGGCTGGGCCTGGGTTACTCCCACTTACACCCCAGCCCTGCTGCCCCTAAGCCTGAGGGCTGGACCTGTCACTGGATCCTCTGTGATGAAAAACTGGCTGTGGGGAGTCTCCGTTCCCTCCCCATTTGCCAGGATCAAGCAAGCCTGGCCCCCACCCAGGCAAGCTCCCTGCTCACCGTGCACAGCTTGTGACTCCTCAGGGCACCGTGGCGAGACTTTCCTGGTCAAGGCCTCTCTCAGAGAGCTGTGCCTGGTGAGGGGCTCCGGGAGGGGCGGGGGTTCTGGCCACCGGGGGCTCTTCTCATGGGGTTGGGCACTGGAAGCCTCACTGCCGGGGCAGTCTGGCTCTGCCTCGGAGCTGGAAGGAGGAAGCACAGGGTGAGTGAGTGGGGAGCCCTGCAGGTCACATCCCACACCCCACTGTGCCCTGCCTGTCACTGCCTCCCACAGACCTCGGCACTCTGGGGCAGCAAGAGTGGTTTTGTCACCTCTGCACCCCAAGCCCAGCCACAGGCTTTGTTATGGGCTGAACTGTGCTCCCCAAAATTCATATGAAGTCAGAACACCTAGGACCTCAGAAGGTGATTGCATTTGGAGATTGGGGCTTTAAGGAGGTAACTGAGTTAAAATGAGGTCATTAGGGTGAGCCCTAATCCAACAGGGATGGTGTCCTTACAAGAAGAGGACATTTGGACAGGCATAGAAGAAAACATCCTATGAACACGGGGTCAGCCATCGACAAACTGAGGAGAGAGGCCTGGAACAGATCCTATCCCCTCGTGGCTCTCAGAAGGAACCAGCTGTGCCAGCACTTGATCTCGGACTCCCAGCTTCTAGAACTGTGAGAAAGCACATCTCTGTTGTTCAAGCCACCCGGTCCGTGGCACTTTCCGGAGCCCTAGCAAACAAGTACTGGCATGGATCCAAGCAGGAGAACAAAGCCCCACGAACATATGTTGACATGCTTGTGGGACGGCTGGTCTACCTGCCTTCAGCCATCCTTCAGCGTGACTCCTCAGCTCTCTGGGGCAAAATGAGCTTATCATTTAGGACCTGGTCCTAGAATGTTAGGCATTTGAGTGCTGCTTGTGTCCTATGGGAACGGATGGGAGGAAAAAGGCTTCGGGGCTGGAGGGGGAGTCTGGAAGCTGGGCCTTGAATGATGGGCCGGAATTCGCGTGGCAGAGAAGTGGAAGTGGTGTGTCCTCAGCAGCAGGGACAGCACAGGCACAGTCCCCTGGGGGCCTGGGGAGGCGCCAACCTATAGGGCTGTGACTATTTACTGTTTGTGTATGTAAGTCAGCATGCATCTTTCCACTGGGCCACTGCTCCTTATCCATCTCTGTGCTCTGGTGGACTCTCCACCCATCCCAGGGCCCAAACCTGCCCGTCACAGTATCCCAGGGCTCTTCACCGATGGGTCCCAGAGGTAGTAGTACCCACTGGAGGTTTACCTTGAGACCTTGGGACATGGACATGGACAGATGGTCGTAGGCTGAGGCCCTCTGTAACCAGGAGTTCCACATGTGGATGGATATAGCCTCCTTGTGGATGCTTGTAAATCCGACGTGCAAAGAGGCAACAGCAGAGAGTGGCTACTTGAGTTCTGGGTTCCAGCCTTGCCTGGAGAGAGGACTACCCTTGGACTTCCCAGCCAGAGGAGTCAAAGTATTTGCTTTGTTACTTAAGCTAGCTTTGGGTTTCTGTCTCTCACAATGGACATGGTCCTGCCTAACTGAGATCTAGAAGGCTGTATGAGACTTGGGGCAGGGCCTTCCTTCTCTGGGCCTTGCCTTTTTTCTCAGTGACTGCGGAGGGCACTCCAAAGCAGAGGTGCTCATGCTGACGTGTGTGTCAGAATCACCTCTGGGACTTGCTAAAATAAAATGTACGTTCCCAGGCCTCTGTTCCAGAATCTGAAGGCTCCAGACTTCATGGACTAGCTGTCTGCATGGCAGTATCCATATTCTTCCCTCACATTCTTCCCACACCTACTCCAGTCAGGTTTCTGATCCTCTTATTGGAAAAACCAGAGGTCGCTCCTCCAGCTCCTCCATTCTCATCTGAAACAGTGAACTACACTCTCCATCCTGAAACTTCTTTCTTCTCTTAGCTTCCACAACTCAGCCTCTCTTGGTTTCTCTCCTTCCTGGGTTTTGCCAGCATCTTCTCTGCTTGCCCACTGAATGTTCAAATGCCCTGGGGCCCTCATCCAGTCTCAGCTCTTCTTTATCTATGAGAAGATAGCCTCTTTTTTTTTTTTTTTCCTGAAGAAACATTCTTACTCCACAGGTGACTCATCAACTCCTTTGGCTTTCATAGCCTCTATGTACCACTGGCCCCTAAATCCTGTCTCTAGTCCTGCCTCCCAGAAACTTCTCTGTTCTACTGCTTGTTTGACAACTGTGCAAAGACATCTCAAACCCCACAGGTCCAAAACAGAACTCTTGATTTTCTCCACAGAACTGCATCTTTCCCCAAATATTGTCCTCCTCAAGGCTACTCTAGAAATGACTGTACCTTTCATGCAGCACCTGGCGCAAAGTCTGGGAGTCACCCTTGGGCTCACTCTCACCTTCACGTTTAGTCCATTAGCAAATCTCCTCCCCTGCTCCCAACCTTGGTCCAAGTCCCTCATCTCTTACCTGCATCACAGGCTCCCGCTGGGCCTCCCTGCCTCCCCTCCCACCCACCTCTGCCCCAAGCATTTTCTGTACCAAGCCCTGCTGATCTTTGGAAATCATAAATAAGATGTCACTCTCTGACTTAAGAATTATCTAATGGCTTTCAATAGGACCTGGAATAAAGTTTAAAAGTCCTTGTCCAGTCTTACTCAGCCTTACTCCCGCCTTACTTTCTGGTATGATATCTTACTCTTCTTCCCCTCCTTGTGTGCCAGCCATGTTAGAAGACATCAGGCCCACAGTTGCCGCAGGGCCTATGTACTCCACTGCTTGGATCCACTTCTTCTGTCTTCACATGGCTGTCCCTTCTTGTCAGCAATTCTTAGGTTAAACGTCACCTCCTCATGGAGGCTGTGGTTGATTGTTTGCAGAGTGCCGGCAATCATTCCCCTCCTGGAGCCACACCCTTTTTCAACAGAACTTAGCAACTCCTCCCATAATGGCAGAGCCAATTTCCCCACCCCTTGAATCTGGGCTGGACTTGTGACCATGCAGATGTGATAGAACAGCCAAGACCTCAAGAGACTTGGTGTGATTGTACCTTCTCACAGGACCGTGTGAATAAGCACAGGCTGCCTGTTGGAGGATGAAAGACCCGTAGCCCAGTAGCCTCCTGGCACCCCAGCTGACAGCTAGCCATGTTCTAGAAGTGGGACCCTGCTGGTCCAAACACACAGGAGCCCACTGAGACCAGAAGAACTGCAGGACTGAGCCTGACTGAAATTGCTGGCTCACAGAATCGTGAGTAGAAAAAGCAGTGGCTGTGGGGTGCTTTGTTACTCAGCATGATGATGAGAACAGATAACCGATACAAAAGCCTTTCTTGGCTTCCTGATTGAAAGTAGCTGACTAGTCACTATCATAAACTCCTGTTTTATTTTTCAACCTGTAACAAAGGTGAGATTTCTCCTGTTAACTGTTTTCTTGTTTGCTGACTGCCTATCCAGTTTGAACAAGAGCCCTGTGAGAGCAAGGCCTTTGTCTTGTGTAGGTCACTGCTATATCCTCAGGGTCTAGTACACAGTGAGACATTGGTCCCTCTTGCTGGTTGACCTCCTGGATGAATTCAGTGTCCGGGGGCGGCCTGGAGTTGGCACTCCTGATGACCACTCTGGGTAGTTCTGGTAATGGCGGTAAGGATGGCATTCTGAGAAATACTCATCTAGCGCAGCAGGGCTTCACTTCTCATGCCTCTCCCGCCCCTGGCCCAGCCTCCCCATCACCGTGCACTGCCATCTTACATTTTACTGTGACAGTGATGCCCACTATGCACCCCTTGCTGCAGCTTACATCACAACTGCCTTTTGGGGAGAAGACAGTGGGGCCAGAGCCTGTCCCTTCTCTGAGAAAACAGCAATTTCTAACACTTATAGTGCTTATTATATGCCCAACATTGTTCTACGTGCTTTATGTATGTTAATTGTTATATCCTTATGATTGTCCATGAGACAGGTGATACCACTGTCTCCATTTTACAGATGAGAATATAAAGGTACAGAGAGGTCACATGGTCAGTGAGTGGAGAGGAGACTAGTCCATGAATGCTGTGGCTCTTGTCCAATCCCTCTTCTGTCCCCATCCTGCAGCAGCCTGAGCATACCTGCTGTCATCACTGGTGACCAGGACACGCACAGCCATCATCTCTTGTCCAACTACGTCCTCCCCAGGGCTGATCTTCACTGAGGTCCACTCAGAGGTCAGGAGAGAGGTGGCTTCACCTTCCATATCACTGGGCTCTGGCTCCAGAACACTCTTGGGCTTCTTGGGGGAGGTTGGCTCATCTGCTGGGAGGAGAAGAGGGTCTAGAGAGATGATGGGAATAAATGGGCCCTACAGGGTACCTGCTTCCCATCCAGAAGATTGGGCAGGCTGCTGGGGGTGGGGAGGTGGGCAGGGAAGCAGGCTTTGGGTCTACTTGGACACTCTAAGACTGACCTTTTCGTCCTCTGTTCCTACCATTTAGTCTACCAGATGCCCCAGGATTTAGAGCACCTCTGTGTATAGGACATGAATACACACATCTCATTTAGTCCCATAGGAGGGCCCTGAAATGTTCAGAGGGACCACCCAGGCCCAATCTCTAGACTGCCATTGTCAAAATCACAGTGTCCAACATACTGCTAAACCTGGTGGCAACTTCTCCATTCTTGTCTTGATACATCAGAAGCATTTGACCCAGTGGTTCATTCTCTCCTTCTAGAAACAGCTCTCCTCTCAGCTTCTAGGATAACACAGCCTGGCTCCCTTCTGTGCAATGGTTGCTCTCCTTCCCTCCTTGTTTTTGTGCTGGGTATACCTTTCCCTGCACCCCCCTCCCGCCCCCAACCTGGTAACATTGGAAGGCCCCAGGGCTGTCTTTGAATCTCTTCTCTTACTCATGCCTGTGATAATCTCATTTGGTCTCCTGGCTTCAAATAACCCCAGATAACAATGACTCACTCCTACATCTGTATTTCCAGCCTGGACATTTCCTCTGAATCTAGCCTTATATATTCCATTGCTGTCTTGGCCTCTCCACATGGATGTCTAGTGGACACATCAAACTCATGTCTGAGCGGAGCTCTTCAACCACACCACTCCCCAACCCTGCTCCCCCACAGCCCTCCCCATCTCAGTCAATGGCGACCTTGGCCTTCCAGCTGCTCAAGTCAAACGCTTTCACAGCATCCTTAACTTCTCTTGTTCTTTCATTCTTCACTCAAATCATCAGCCAATCCTGCCGGTTCTACCTTCAAAGTGGGTCAGGAATCCAGTCACCTGTCACCACCTCCTCTGCTACCACCCTGACCCAGCCACTGGGTCTCCCTGCTTTCCTTCTTGCCATGCTCCCCCCACCACTCCCCAGTCTTCTCAGCACAGCCACCCAAGTAACTGTCCAATGCATGTCAGAGGATGCTCCCCTGATCCACACCCTCCAACGTCCCCTGTGACCTCATCTCCCATTACTGCCCTGCTGTCTGCTCTGACCACGTGGCCACCCTACTGTCCCCCCATCTCAGCCCTGTGTACCACTCCTGCCTCTTCCTAGGAGATGCCATCCCTGGACAGCTTCCCGCAGGCCTTGCTCACTCACTGCCTCAAGTCTTTGGTCAAATGGCACCTTCTCCAGGAGGCCTACCCCTATTTTAACTGCAACCCATGCCCTCAGCACTCTCTGTTCCTCTTTATTTTTATTCATAACATATCTCACCTTCTAATAAACTCTGTAACTTTCTCTTTTGTTTATTGTGTCTCTCCCATGACTAGGACATAAGCAGTGATTTGTGTCTGTTTCCTTTCTTGCTAGAATGGTACCAGGTAAGGAGTAGATGCTCGATGAATGCCTGTTGAATGAATCAATGAATGAGTGAGCAAAACAGGCCACCTGAGGCCAGGTCCATTTGGCCACAAAATAGCTGGGTGGCCCCTTCTCTGGTCACAGTGGGACAGGTGTCTTTTCTTTTGATGGCTGACACCTCACTTGTACTTGGTTCCCTCCTCACCAACCCCCCCTCCAAGGAACATCACCTCCTCTTCCCTGTGCCATTGACGTCTATGTCTACTGGACCTTTTCCATCAGTATTTGCATGTGCTGAAGCCTCTCCCATTTTAAGGAAACTATTTTTAACCCAATTCCCATGCCTGGCCCCTAACCATCCCTTTTTCGTCTTCTCCTCCTTACCAGCCAATCGTCTTGGAAGAGTCTGCTGCTCTCACTTTTTCCCTGTGCACCTTCCCTCACTCAACTCCTCAGTCCCCTACAAGCCTGCCTATGTCTCCATGACTCCCAAACTGTGTCCCCCCAAAGCCCTTGGTGGCCTCCTTATTGCTAAGTCCAATTCACAAGCTCTGGGGTCCTCCTGCCGCTGCTGCAGCCCTCAGCCCTCCCTGCTCTGGGCACCCAGTTCTCTCACTCCCTCCCTGGCTCCTCCATCTCAGCCACCCAGTCTCTAAGCCCTAAATGTTGGGTTCTTCCCACCTCCACCAGCAGGAGGCTGGCAACTCTCTAACTACCTTTACAATCGATGAAGATAACTCAAGAAATTTTTATTTTTACCTGAAGTGCCTCATGCTTTAAAAATATTGTACAAATCAAACAAAACATATCTCCAGGCACGTGCGCCAGTGCGTGGCCAGCTTGCCACTCTTGGCATACGTGCACGCTTGCTTGTGCGTGCGCATTTGCACACTTCTGCACGGGTGTGGCTGTGTGTGAGAGGCACTGGTAGAACAGGTGTATAACTGGATGCTTGGCTCTGTAGTAGTAGCTGTAATAATATATTAATAATAGGAGCAGCTGACTTTTATTGAGCACTTTTATGGAGAAACGTTTTAAGTGTTTAAGGCATATTAAGTCTATTAAACTTCAGAGAACCTTCTAGACAAGTATTATTATCCCCATTTTGCTGATGAAAAAACAGGTGCACAGAGAGGTTAAGACATCAGAGCACAGGGATCCGTCTGTATGGCTGTGAGCAGAACAGAACCATAGACATCAATGTGTGTGACCTTTATTCTGGGAGTTTGGGCTGGATTACGTTCCTGTTTTTCATCCCCTCTCCATAACAGAGCTGTGCTTTTTCTTCTGTGACCTTGCAGTCCTTCCTACAAGGGGTGGTTGGTAGGACTCCTTGCCCAACTGACATGGGACTTGGCTGTGACACTTGCTTTGCCCAGTGGAAACGAGTGGATGTGACGTGAGCAGTGGCTTCAAATGACCTTGCTGTTTGGCTAGTGCACCCACACTCTTACTAGTTTGCCATGAGAAGAGCTTGTCCCAGGTGGCTGCTGCCCCCGCAGCCGAGGTCCCTGACTGTGGGCACAGGGAGAATATCTGAAGCCTTGCCTAGCCAGTCCCATGGGAGCCCGGACCACCCTGACCCCTACAGCTTGAAGCAGAGCTACTCGTCGACTGCACAGACCCACTAGATGCTATGAGCCCCAGCAATTCAGGAGGCTTATCACACAGAATTAGTCTATACCTGCCTTATACCTGAGTTCAGGTGTGTGTGCCTCAGCGGGCTGCACAGAGACCTGTATGGTCAACAGATGCCCCGTGGCCTCCTCTGACCCAGGCCTGTGCTGGGGATTTGGAGATGAATCAGCCATGCTCTGCCTTGAGGGGTCTCTTCCCATCCCAGGGGTGGGGGATGGGGCATATTCACAGCTGCCTTATCAGGGAGACCATCTAAGAGTCAGGCGAGACAAAGTGAAAGGGGAGGGAGATCTGACATCTATACAATGAACACTTAGGCGGAAGGCACCATTTTAATGGGTTAAGGATGAGTAGGATCTGAACAGAGAAGGGGGAGACGATGTTCCACGGGATGGACCTCTGTGAGCCAAACCAATGAGGAAAAGCACTACCGTCTTCATGGAAACAGAAACCACGTCTCCATGGCCGGAGGGCAGAAGAGTGTATGGAAGAAGCCAGTGGGACGTCATCCCCTTGATGTGGAACCAGTAAGGGCCTAAAGGACAAAGTGAAACGTGCAGAGCAGCGCCCAGAAGTTTGGAAACGGAAGACTGGCGTCATCGGAGTGGCCTCATAGAAAGATGGCTCTGGTTGCTGAGTGGAAGGTGGACCGGAGGACCCACCAGGTGGGGAGAGGGAGACCAGGGAAAGGAGAACGAGAGGCTGAGCATGCGTGGCCGTAGAAGAGGGGAGCAAGGCCAGTGAGAGCAGCCCGGGGGGTCAGAGCAGCTGCGGCCAGTGGATGGGAGCTGGGCCAGGCTGTGGTGACACCACCTCAGGGACCAGGCAAACCGGTGAGGGAGACGCCAGGGGTCTGCTTGTACCCTCCCTCCTCCTAGAAAGTCTTGACCTGGCCATCAGGGCCAAGGGGGTGGAATGGGGTAACGGCTCAGGCTGGAGGGGTGGGGACATGGCTGACCCATGAGCCCTTGGGACAGCGGGGTCAGGACCAGCGTCTCTCACCACAGAGCCCAGTATCAGTGGAGGGGTTGAGGCAGGGGGAGATAGAGACTTGGAAAAAAAGAAGCTGGGACTTTCTCTGATCAACACCTCACCAAGGTAAAAAAGTCCCAAAGACAGACATCCTCCTCCCCTCCCTTCTGCTCCCCAAGGCCTGGGCCAAAGGCTATAGCTGGGTCTCTGGGGTTCGGTGCTATGCCCCAGAGTAAATCACTCCTCTCAAGCTCCTCCTTCCAGACCCTCTCTCATTCTCCGGGGACTCCTGTCTGCACACACAGAACAGCAGCCCCAGTACAAGCGATGGGAGTAGTCTCAAGGCAACAACGAAAGCAACATCGACTCATTCTCAAGGCCTTTATCCAGGCTCGGCGTCCCTAACATCCCGAGAGCCCGAAAGGTCAGTGTTGTCATCTTCACTGCATGAGTGCAAGACCCTGGTGCCCCGGAGTAAAACTCAGCCACAGACCCCCAGTGAGTCAGCCGGATCGGCCGCCGCAGGGACACACAGTGGCTTTGTCAGCGGCCAGGCCAGGGGAGCGGCCAGCTGTGCTCACCCGCCTGCCCTGCCTCCCCTGGGCCTGTCTGCGGTTTGTCCAAGATTTTGCCAGAGCTCTCTGTTTCCATAGGGAGACGTCAGGTCTGCAGCGGTGGTGGGGGGTGGGGGCTGTCTGGGGAGGAGGTGTGCAGGGTGGGGAGGGAGAAGGATCCAGCAGCAACCTGGCCTCCTGCAGGCAAAAGCAGGCGATCTCAGAGCCGAGACTCTTGGTCTCCTACCAGTGCTCCCTGGGGAAAGCGGTTATGCCAGAGGCAGAGCCAGCAGTGTCTGTCCTCACATGCTGAGGACCCAAGGCCTTCACCAGGCCAGAC